CAAAGAGAGGCACTGCAAGGATTCTCAGCGATGGGGAGAAGAGATTCAGGACCCATCTTAGGAAAATTACTAAAAATATAAAATGTACCTTCTCCAAGTAGACCTAAGTGGCTAAAACTCTGAGACGTCACCTGCCTGATACTCTATTTTCATACACACAGACTTGGAATACTGCCAACTTCCTATTTTGACCTTGCTTTTATTTATGAGAGCCCTATGCTCATAATTAAAAACACCATGGTCCAGGCCTGCTGGCTTAGTGCACTGTGGAGTGAGTACACTTTGGGGTCTAATTACTCACTACTTAGTTAACTAATCCCCTCTTCTCACTGTTTCCCATATTTTTAAAAAAATTGTGTTTGTTTGTAAAGTATACCTTTGTCCCCATCTCTGTCCCATCATTGCATCACATCAGGAAAGCATCCTTTCACCTCTTTGGAAAGCTCTAATGCCAAGAAATAATGAAAAGGTATTTCTTTTGATGGAAAATTCCATGTTGTCCAGAGATAAAAATGAGGAGAAAAGACAGCTGTCAGTGAACATCCTTTGAACCTACCGAATCCATGTTACAAACCGTTTTTGATGGTGCCAAAACAAACTAGCACATTGCAAAGGACATATGTCCTACAGCGTGGTCCCCAGACTTTGCTTTGATTGATACGTAAAGATTCAAAAACATTCCGGGGACTGACATAAGGTTGACAACTTTTAATTTTTCAAATAACGTCATTAAGAAAAAAAAAAAGACTATACTATTGCCATTTCATTTCATTTCAAAAGGACAATTTTAGTGGTATATCCATGCAAGGGAATGCTATTCAGCCACGAAGTAATGAGGTTCTGACATATGCTACAACATGGATGAAGCCTGAAAACATTAAGCTAAGTGAAATAAGCCAGACACGAAAGGACAAATACTGTATGATTCCACTTACATGAGGTATCTAGAGTAGGCAAATACATGGAGACAGAAAGTAGATCAGAGGTTACCAGGGGCTGAGGCGAGGGCGGGAGGATGAGCAGTTATTGCTTAATGGGTACAGAGTTTCTGTTTGTGGTGATAAAATTTTTTTTAAAAAGGTAGTGGAGATGGTTGCACATCATGTAATTAATACCAGTTAATTGGACACTTAAAAGCAGTTAAAATGTCCACACACGCACAGAAGAAAGCACAGAGGTAAACAGACGTCCACAGATGTTTTCACTGAAGTTGGAGGACAGAACAAGTGCAGATCCAAGTGAGTTTATCAGTTCAGCTGTGGAAAAGGAAATAGTTCTGGATCACGTGCTGAGAGTGAAAGGGTCTTAGGACAGGAATCCTGTTTCTTCTCTCAACCCTGTACTCCTTTATCCAGATTTTAACGTTCTCCATGATCTGGCCCTGGGTTTACCTAACCAACACACTCACTAATATAAACAACCCACTGCAGTAAAACCATGCTCTTCATGAGCCTAGAACATCCAGCTCTTTCCAATCTCCATCTCCTTATTCATGATAGTAATCCTCTTCCTTTGTGCAGTCACATCCTCCTGGTCTTCAAGGCCAGGTCAAGAATCATCTCCACATGGAGGAGACTAGCTCTTCCCTAATTATCCTATCTTCCTAACCATGCTCAGTGACTCCCCTGGCCTTGAACACCACCAGCAAAGAACAGGCTATTCCCCATGAGACTTTACTTACCCACAGCAGTGTACTGGTTATTGTCTTCCATTTGTTGGTCTTGTGTAGGCTCCTTCTCTTAATCTTATTTTGTATATACCTTACTAAGCAAGTGCTAACAGTCTTATAAGTACTCAGTAAATACTACTATTGTTGACTAGTGAAAAATTAACAATAGTTGGTATTTATATGGCCCACACATTCATCGGTGCTTTCACATTCATAAGCATAGGATCCTTGTTGACCACAGTACCTTAAATCCTCACAATAAACTTACTAATGGAATATTAGCTTCATTTTAATGAAGAAGAACCTGAAGTGTTCAATTAAGTGACCTATGCTAGTTCATATGCTAATTAATAAAATATTAAATAATAGCACCAAATAATTAAAATCAGTCTCCTTACAGATTAAAAAAGCTTTCTAGTATGTCCAATCAAGAATAAACCTAGGAAAGCCTTTTTATATAGAAAATGACATATTTACTTGGTTATTTAATAAATGCTTCATCACACAACCTAGGTCTACCGAGCCAAGTTACTGAATAAAACTATTTGCAGCTAACTTAAAAAGTTATTTTCACCTTTAAAAAGTTAACAAGTAATATGTATTTGTTGTAGAAAAAATGAGAAAATAACTCAGGGGCAAAAGTCTATATTCCATCCCACTGCCTAAAAATCAACAACTATTGTAACCTAGCGGGACCCCATGGAGGCATTCCTGGGACAGGCCTTCCCCCATATCCTCTGCTTTGGCTCCTCTCTGAACTATCCAGATAATAGTATTTGACGCACATTTCCTGAGTTGTCTTGCAGATGTAAAAAACTCCCCTCTCCAACAAATGCAAGACGTTAACTACTTGATGACCATAAACACACAGCTCCAGGCCTCCCTGTGATACCACCCTGCTTCCTCACCATCAGCCAATCAGAGAACCGTGCACAAGCTGATCACCAACCCTGCGACCCGCCCCCTCCACCTGGCTTTTAAAAGTGCATTGTCGAAGCCCTTCTGGAAGCTCAGGACTTTTTAGGGCATGAGCCACCTCTTTTTGCATGGGCTTCCAATAAACTTTCCTCTGTTCCAAACTCCAACGTTTCAGTTTGTTTGGCCTCACTGTGCGTCCGGCACACTAACTTGCGTTAACACTATGAACAATATCTTTTTACACATTTCTTTGAACAGAAAATGGGATTTTTGTGTATTTATTTGTAGTCAAATGTACATCTATGTTCTCACTAATGACTCATGACTTATAAGCCAATCCTCTATTTTTGTACACTTAAGTCGGCTCACATTTTTTTCTTTTTCATATTTTTTTCTATCACATCAAAAACTCTGCTGAACATCCCTCTATCCTCATGCACTTGTCCAGTTATTGTCTTAGGATGAATTCCTGGAAGCAGAACTTACAGGTCAATGGTAAGAACCTATTTTTGAAACGCTTTTTAAATGAAACAGAGGTGACAAAACACATATAAGGGACAAGCTAAATTTTCAGTACTCTGATGTACTTAAAAATTTTAAACTAGATACAACTCTAACTGCTTTTTTTTAACCTGTTCAAAGAATTTAAATAGATGGTTTCCACATTCCAGTCCCTGCAAACTGAAAACATATAGGTGAAAAGCATAGAAATATAACATTGATTTGGAAGACCAGACATATTCTAACTTCAAAAACATTTTTAATTCTTTAATCAAATGAGAAACAAAAGTTAAGCAGAAAAAAGCTGAACCCGCATTTGTAAAAACGATTTCCAAATTTTATAGAAAAAAAAGTTTTATTTTTCTGATCCAAGAAATACACGTCCATTATGGAAAATTTGGAAAATACATAGAATAATGAAAATATGAATTTCCCAGAATCCAAAAATACATAAGATAGGCTTACAGTTTTACTATTTTCTTACACATGTATTTTTTAATAATTTGCCATTCTCCTTCTCTCCCCAACCTGACCCCCCAACAAAAAAGTGGGGAAGGCAGCTCCTTGAAGGACATGGCCTGTCACACCCACTACACCTTGCATCCTCCCTGCAGACCTCTCTCCTCGCTGAGCTGTGGACTGTATCCTTGCCTACTTTCCTGATTTCCATGTAAATGCACAACACACCCCAAAGCAGGGCCAAAGTCCTGTGCTCTCAGAACTGCCAATGCCCAGCCTATCAAGAGAACTCACAATGTCAACTCCCAGCTGCCTCCTTCACTTCAGAGCCAGACTTCTCCCTAAGAACACCTTGAAGATTATCTCTGCTGATCAACATCTTCGGCAGTAACTAATGCCTCTTAAAATTTATACAGCACTTTAAAGTTTAACAAGCTCTCTCATACACATTTAATCCTCACAAGAGTCCTCTGAAGTAGACAGAGCAGATAGCCCTATTTAAAAGGGAAGGAAACTGAGGTGCAGAGGAGTTGAGATCATATCGAGTCAATGGCAGAGCTTGGACCTCCCTGGCAGTCCAGTGGTTAAGACTCCGCACTTCCAGTGCAGGGGGTGCGGGTTCAATCCCTGGTTGGGGAACTAAGATCCCACAAGCCGTGGGGCACAGGCAAAGAAAGAAAAAAAAAGAAGCCATAAATTGACTCAAAGGTCAGAGCTCCCTACCTAGCCATTATTAACAAAACATTTTTAAGTCTGACAACTAGAAATTAAGAGCTAGAAAGATCTTCAGTAAATCATCTAATTCCTTCTCAATATTCACATGTAAAGGAAAGTAAAAAGAATTAAAGGCAGGTGATTGCCCAAAGTCACCAACTATTTTGTGATGAAGAGAATCTAAAGGCACAATCTTCAGACTCCCAGGGAAGTGCTCACACCAGTCGTCCCTAGAGAGATGTTCTTTAATAAGCTGGTCTCTCATCCGGTGTCCTCCGCTTAGCCAAATGTCAACCAGGAATTAAAATCCTAAAAGTGTAGAATGTTAGAGCCAGAAGGGACCTTAAAGACTACCCAGGCCAATCCACTCGCTTTAGAGATGAGGAAAGTGAGGTCCCAAACTCACGGCTTCTGCTGTTCAATTCTGTGCACCTTCCACTCACCATGTTACTTCCCTTCTTTAATTATAAACAAAATCTGGCCAAAGATGTTTACTGCCTTCTCGGACAGTGTGTGATAGGCCACAGACCAGCAAAGCCGAAGTAAAACTGATCGGGATTTGATTTCAGAAGATACCTTGTTGGTAACAGATGTACCCACCATGACTGTATCATAAAATAACCAAGTTCTGCTGGGTTCTAGGCAGGCTCCCCCATTCTCTATCCAGCCAGAGAGAAGGCCTATTGAAATGTGCGTGTTTCTTAGAAAAGGGTACCAATGGCCCTTTGGAAGTCGCCCATCTCTTGAATCTGTGAAAATGTAGCAATATTGTTTTGCTAAAGGCTTCTACTCCACAAATCAACCAGGAATCCTAACTAAAACTGGCAGCACAACACCAGGGCTGTCACAGTTCCCTGACCCTAAAGAACCCAGACCCTCCTCCCACGGTCTTTGTGTACCATTCAAATTCGCTTCTCAATGTGTGCTACGACCTTGATTCTTCTTCATTGGTTGCACAGTTCTATGGCCAGTCCCATGGTTCTACAGCTAGCCTTACCTCTCTGGTGAGATGGAAAGCTCTTTGAGGGCAAGGGACCACTTCTATTGAACACATACTACTGCCAAACATTGTGCTTTGCAGGGTAAGATACGGCCCCTACCTTCAAGAAACTTACAGAAGGATAAACGAAACCATGTGCAAAACCAAGCGCAGCCACAGAGGTGTAAACAGGAAGCGGGGGAGCCCGGAGGGCGAGGATTAATAAGCCTGAGTCGTAAAGGGCTGGTGGAATCAGTAGGGGAGAGGGCGGTAGAAGGCAACCCGGGCAGGCAAACCAGGCACGCGGGGCAGCGCCAGCAAAGGCAAGGAGAGAAACAGTTCAGCGCTGCAGGAACATCAGGCGCAGGACAGAGTGGAGGGAGCTGAGGCTGGAGCGGCGGGCCTAGCAACGTGGCCCCAGCAACGAGGCCGTGCAATTCACGCTGACCCGGTACGGGGGCCGCTGGCGCACCTAGCGAGTAAACCGATTTGGGCTCCCGTTGCGAAGCTGTGTCAATGACGGCCTCCAGCGGCCGCGCAACCCCCTCCCCCGGGCACCTGTGCGCCTTCGCAGCCACCAAAGCACACGCAGGGCTGCCTCCCTCCATCAGATTTTCTACGCGGCCGCGCGCCCGGGTCCCAGCCCCTGCCCCTGGGCCCCCACTTCTCCGCTCAGGTTTAAAACGCCTGTTGCCGCACCGTGGCGGGTGCCTGCGTGCCAGCGGGAGGCCCGGTGGTTTCCTCTGCAGTCGCTATCGGGCTTTCCTGAAGAAGACTGCCCGCGGGCCCCCGACCCCGCGCTGCGAGGCTCCGGGCGAAGGCTACCCGCCCGGCTGGCGCAGGGGCCGTGCGGGGGCCGGTGCCATCTGGGGCTCGCGCCAGGCGCAGTGCTGACAGCCGTCCTCCTGCGAGGGTGCAGCATGGAAACCAACGGGACGGGCCACCCGCGTCTCGAGCCCGCGGCCCGGCTGGCACCGGGCGGCCCGGCTTCCCCCCGTTAGTCTCGGGCCGGGGCCGGGCAAGGGGCTGGCTCGGCTGGGTCCGCGCGCGGCGCCCGGACGCGTCATTACCTGGCCAGCGTAGTTTTCCCCGAGCCCGGGAGGCCTCGCAGGAGGTAGAGGTGTTTCCGAAAGCTGTGGCGGCGCGGAGGTGTCCCACGCGGGGGCGGCGGGGCGGGCGGCCGAGGCGGCTGCTGCTGCTGCCGGAGGCTCAGCCTCCCAAAGGATTCAAGAAAACTCTCCTCCATGGGGTGGGGGCTGGCTGCGAGAACACTGCTTTCCCCTTCCTGAAGTCACGGTCTTGGCCAAAGCTGTTGTTTTTGTGGCTCTCCGGCCATGTGATAGATGGAGGGGCGGGCGCTCGGAGCCCAGCCCCTCCTTCCCACCCGCCCGAACTGCGCTGCGTGGGAGGGGTCGTCCCTACCTGGAAAGCTGGGGACGCTGGGAGACTGACAGCCGGGAAAACCTGGGCAACGCGACCCCCGCCCCGCTCCCCCACTGCCTCCCCGCCCCCCCACGCTTCCGGGTACCCTTCGCCCTGGGGGGAGAGGCCCACCGGGTGGGACACTGGACACTTCCCCGGGACGCCCGCGTGGAAGGCAGGCCTTAGGCAAAAGCCCTCCTCCACCCCACCTAACACTGGCCTAGACCTTGAAAGTGAAATAATTTTAGTTGACGATAAGAGACCGTGAACAGCATTTTGAACAGTAACAGTAAAGACCATTGTCTCCCCCAATTTGTGAGCACCAATATCTGGCTGGTGTCCCAACGGCTAACACCACTCTCCCAGGGCCTGTATCTTTTCCTTTTTTTAAATACTTCTGTATCAGCCTGCCAAAAATATTCTTAGAAAGCTTTGTTGCCTCTACATAACTTTAGAAATCTCTTCTTCTTCAAAAACAAAGCACCTCTTAAAACTCAGATTGATTTATGAACAGTAGTATAAACTAGGCATCCTGAGAAGGACGGGCTACTGCCCAGGTTCATGACCTGTTACCACAGGAAAGGGATGGCCTCCCTAGGAGCAGGAGCAGGGAAAGGAGCAGTCTACTGAAACAACAGAAAAGCATCCAGAATTAAGTTCTAAGTTCCAGGAACTGGTGAGCGCCAGTTGGTTGATCACCACAGTACTCTCCACTGTTTCACACTCAGGAGTGTGAAAGAGAGATCCTATTTTCTGAACTAAAATTCAAGATGCATGGACTGAAAGAGACAATATTAAAAATTAACACCATCCTCGAACAATCCGGGATATATGGTGGCTTTGGCTGTAATAACCATTGTAAAGTAAATACATTTTGTTTCTGGCAGCTAAGGTATGAAAATTTTGAAAAGGAATTGTGAAGAAAAGCAATTTCCTTCTAAAACAAAACCCAGAGATTGCACAATAAGCTTCAGTGGAAGGGACTATCCAAGTGCGGGGGTGGGGGGTGGGGGGGGCTCTGTGCTGACAATTTCGCCTTCCTCTTGGGGTTCTGTGGAGGGGGGAGCGGAGGGAGATGAGCTACTCTCTTGAAAATCCCTTCCCAGCATTGGAGGAAGAATTCTTAGCACTTCTGAGAAACACTGAAATTTCAAAAGCTTCTCTAAATATTAGAGGGAAACCATAAGGAATGGAGAATATACATGAATCATAAAAATAGTGTTGCTTATAATGTATGTATCCTATCATACTTCCATGTATCTACAATACTTCTTACAAGACCGTTTTTACCCAGCCGCAAAACTACCTTTTTCATTCTAGACTTGCACGCTCTAACATAGGAGCCAATAACCACATGTGGCTATTAAGCACTTGAAGTACTGGCCCAAACAACAGCTGGTCCAAACTGAGATTAAAGTACACTGAATTTCAAAGCTTCAGTATGAAAAAAAAGAATGTAAAATATCTCAATAATTTTTATATTGATTATGTGTTGAAGTGATAACATGCTGTGTATTGGGTTAATATATTATTAAAACTAATTTCATGTTTCTTTTTTTTTTAACTTGGCTAGTAGGTAAGTCTAAAGTACATATGTGGCTGACATATTTCTGTTGGACATGTGCTGCATGAGTGCTGCATGAGACTTCTGTCCATTTCTATTTCCTTCTATAGAGGGTGTCCCAGGCAGTGTGGGAGAGGGCAGCAGGAAGACACACAGCTTTGGGGGCTAGAAGTTTTGGCACACTGAGTCTGCAGTACCTGTGGCAGCTGAAGCGATGAAGTAGATGCTGGAAAATGTGAATGTGCTGTTAGAAGAGAGGTCTGAGATGGAGACAGAGCTTTGGAAATCCTTCCCCTGTGAGAAGAAGATAGAGAAAAGAGCAGACGGCTGAAGAGGGGGCTCGGGGACAGCATTTAAAGACAGTCTTTGAAGTGGATCTATTGAAGGAGAGTATGAGAGACAGAACTGTAAGATAGTGTGTGGAGCCCCAGGGAGGGAGAGTTCAAGGAGGAGAAAATGGTTGGCAGTATCTGAAGGTGACCCCAGACACTTCTCCTTTCTCTTAGCTCCCAGATTTAACTAGTCAACAAGCTCTGTTTTCCCCAATTTATTCCTCAGAACCACACTGTTTAAAGCTATCTGTTTGTGTATCTGTTTCCTCCCACTAGACTGTAAGTTCAAAGGCAAGAACAGTGTTGCCCTTGTCACCCCAAGAGCTAACACAGCATCTGACATTCAGAGATGCTCAATAGTTGTATATGGACCCAAACTGCTTTCTCAGTAGATGTGTCTGAGCTTGGGATTTACTAAAGATTAACACTGAAAAAAGATAGTGATAACGTCAGCTAAGGACTAATGTAAACAGTCAGTGACCTTATTGGCAGATCTGAGAACCACCCTGCTCCCAGATAGTATCTACGTTCAGATCCTTACTGGCCCTATATAGGTGGCAGCCTCCAGAGAGGAAGGCTACCCCCGAGTCAGAGGATCCCTGTGACAACACTCCTTCATGCCCTCAGTTCACCCAACCAGCTTTTCAGCTCTAAGGTTCTGTTCCATTTCTCTAGAAGGTGATGACCAGCACAATTTCACGTTGCTGCACTACAAACCATTACCATGATAGACATAAAGAAATAATCTTAGGAGTAATTTCTGGCAAATGAAGAAACATTCAAATGTTTCTCTAATTATTACTGTTTAACAAGATGTGGAAAAATAAGAGGGTGCACAGGAAGAGCCATTGGAAACCAGGAATTTAACCCTCGAACCTACAGTTCCAAATACCCCACGATTTGGAATGCTTAATTGTAAGTCAGCCCTGGGTTCCTCTCCTGCAGATGCCAAGATGGCAGAAGTCAGAAACCAAGACGAAGTTTCCAAAGCAGCCTAACCAAAGACCCTGTAACATAGTAGAACCATTTAAAATATAAAGGTAGTAGCTTCCCAATTTTCTCTAATCCTATGTCCTTTCTTCATCTACCAAAAGCTTTTATCTGATTTTTTACTCAAAAAAATGCCTTATATACATACTTATTCACCTTGTTACATAAGTGACATGAATGGAAAGGACAGGAAAGCATCCCTCTGTGCCTGCTTAGCTGTTTCTATGGTGGACCCCTCATTGCTACAGCACCTCCAGCTCTCACCTTCCACCACAGTCTACACTATTTGGCCATTCAGAGGTAGTGCCTCTATACTTAAAACTGCTCCCTCCTGGCTCTTCCCTTATCCTTCCCCTAGAAGCTCGATGGAGGATGCAGGAAGCTCGAAGAGGTTAGGGGAAGGGGGACAAGGGGAGAGCAGTCATGCAGAGTATGTCTGCTTGCCTGAATTGACAGGGGAAATGCTCAGGACTCTGGTGGCCTAGGATAAGTCTGCTAATGCAGAAATGTCCTCTGGATAAGACTGATTTTGCTCATTCTAACCTCACACTGCCTCTGCCTCCTATATTCCTTCCCTCTCTCTATTTGGCATCACACTCCTCCCCAAAGGCGATGACCATAATTCTATTTCCACAGCACCTAGTATTTGCCACTGTTCACAGGGACACTTGAGGAGTATAAGTTTTGAGAAGGAAGCCTGGGAGGTGGGGAAAGTAGCCCCAACCCATTTTTCTAAAGCTCCATTCTGGAAATTAGGGCAAGGTAATAAAGGCAGGAGCTGGAGAAAGCTGGGGGCTTCCTGGAACCTAAGTAGAAGCCTAGGTGGGTAGTTAGCTGGTATGCATCAATACAGTACAAAGGAGTCTCAGAACTGGTCACCAGCCCTGCCATACTCATTGTTTAATATTTATGATGTTACCCTTACTTACAGCCATGGTGGTGTGGACTCTAATGTATTCATTAGAAATCCATAATTGTTGCTGTCGAAGTCTCCTAAGAAAGCAAACATTTGCCAGATGCCAGAGTCTCCTCTGCTTCAACCCTAATCCTGATCAGCTCTTCCCTGAAATCATCCCATCCCAGGCCAAAGGTAAGTCCAGTTTCACAACGGCTCTAGGAGCCTGCACAGAGAGCAAGACCTTAGGGAGTTCAACCAAACACTGAAGACCTTGGTCTCTGTCTGTAAGAGACTGACAGTCTAGTAGAAAGATAAACTGAAACTGTACAAAATGAACATAGGAAAAACATTGAGCTATTTTAAATAAAGTGCTCAGTTCCTGATTTAGCAGACAGAACTCAAATACTTAACTTCCCTCACTGAAACCCCACGAAAATGTAAAGGTTTTTTGGCGGGGTGGGTAATCATTATTATTTTCAAGTATAAACTGTAAGAAAAGAGAGAAGATCACAGCAACAAAATTTCAAAAACTGGAACGCTAAATGCCCAGTGTTAATTAATTTGGAAAAAAAATTAAAAATAAAACTTGAATTACAGAAAGCCAAGAAACAATACTATTTACTCTGCATAACCCCTAAAATTTCAGGAATTGGAAGATTTAGGGCTGGACGTGGGACTCTAAACAGGAAGGTCAGTTGAAAGTCTGTTTAAGAAACAAATGTCCACACAGTCAGGCAGCTGCCCACCCCCTGCAGAAGCCTGGAGGTTTATTCTCTGGAGAAGATAAAACAGGATGAGGAGGAGTAAGAGGCAAGATACGGCAGGCAACACTCCCTTTCTGAAAACAGAGAGATTACATAAATGCCTACATGTTGAATAATGAGAAATCACCCCTTAATTTATACTTTTCAAATACGAATTTTTGTATTTGAAGTTTGTTAAGTACGATTAAACTAAAATAATAGTAATAATAAAAATAATTATTATTGTAGTATAGTGCAAGTCCCACAATCTCTAACCAAAATCCTTGAGGTCAGATATGTTTCAGAATTTAGGAAGTTCTAAGTGGGGTCTAGGGCACCCCTGGTAATTTAACACATTAATATTTCTGCAGTAAAATGTCTGAAGAGTCACGCTAAGTGGGATAAATAAGGAGTAAAATTAACCTGTCTGTTTGGGTCAAGTCTTGCTGCCAACTTAGTTTTCACGCCAAACATTTAAGAAACAAAACAAAATAAAAACAACTTTTGGTTTTCAGAGGCTTTTGGATTTCAGAATTCTAGAAATGGAATCATGGACCCATACTTGGATATAGGGCCTATCCTTCTATTCTGATGCAATTTTAAAAATAAGCTACTCAAGTTTTCTGTGCCTTATTTTCTTCATGAAATAAAGTAGGGTGAGTATCTTCAAAATTAGATAATAAAATGTTCAAGTTGTTACCTCTTTCGTTGAGTTTTTTATTAGTAATCAGGAAACTGATTAAGAATAGTTGAACAGATTATTCAAACCAATTTCGGTATCCACTGAGTGTATCACTCTAAATTATCCTTCAGTTTGGCACTTAGCACTCTTTCTTGATGATGAGGGTCTTCAACAGTACCAGGAAGACGGAGACTTCAACTACAAACAAACACAAGCCCAGACAAGTCCAGACAAAATGGTGACATGAATGGAGTTTGCTGTCAGTTTCCCAAACTCCTGACCTATTTATGCCACCCCCTCATATCTAGAACTTCACGCTGTCCCCACAGCCCCGCACCCTGCCTGGTCCTGCCTCATTCAAGAGCCTGTCCTCCTGATTATGCCCAACTTTCTGTCTCTAAATCAAATCCTGGTCTATGTCCCATTTCCTGATGACCCAGCTATTTACATTATAAAGTTAATAATAAATACATTTAACTCATGCAAATGTGTTAACAAGTTTATTGAGTCAATATGTTGCTCTCCTAGATCAGTGGTCCCCAACCTTTTTGGCACCAGGGACCAGTTTCGTGGAAGACAATTCTTACACGGATGGTGGCGGGGTGGGGGAGATATATGATGGTTCAGGTGGTAATGTGAGTGATGGGGAGTGCAGAAGAAGCTTTACTCACTCGTCCGCCACTCACCTCCTGCTGTGCGGCCCAGTTTCTAACAGGCCTCAGACCTGAACCGGTCCAAGGCCCAGGGGTTGGGGACCCCTGTCCTAGATAACACAATTTCTATTCTGCCAGGGGCATTTCAAAGACAAAGCTGTAACCAACTAAGGTACTCAGGGGAAGGGAATTAACCCTAACTAAGAGCCTAGTATTTTTCAGGCACTATGGTAAGAACTTTGCACAAGTTATTTCATTTAATCCTCATTTATTATCCCCATGACAGATTGGTATTATGAATGTAATTTTTTTACAGGTGAAGAAATTGAGGCTCTGAGAGGGTAATTTGTTTAAGGTCACATAGCCAGTCAGCAGTAGCTTCAAGATGCAAACGCATCCTCTTTCCAGCACTCTGCCCTACGTCCTTAAAGAAGTGAGGCAATATAAACACCCTGGCCACCAGCAAGAAGAGGATTTTGAAATAGGCAGGGATTTGAGGCTCCCAGAGCCAACCACATTCTCCTGCTATTTCCTTCTTTCTAAATTTCTGTTTACCCCGTGACGCCCACTGATCCTTAATTATGCCAAACACAAAACTAAGAGGCCCATTCTCATTACAATTATAAAAAACCTGTACATGGCTACAGCACTCATGAAATTCCCCAAAAAGAGAGGACAAATAATTAGGGATGACTGCTCTGTGAGGTTCACAGAGGGCATTTCGTTTAGCATGAATGTAGAAGATGAACATAAAAATCAAAAAAGTATGGTCCATAAAGTGTCCTTGACACAAAATTACCAGATAGAAAACACTCTGAAATTAGCTACTGCCAAATATACCCATGCTTGTTGCATGCTGCTTATACTGGTGTCACACTGAGGGGAAGCCTCACATAAACTCCATGAGGCCGGGAATGTTTTCACTGCTATATCCTCAGTGTGTAGAACAATGTCTGAACTGAGGCAACTCGATAAACATTTGTTGAACAAATGAATGAATTTCTTCACCTCCTTTCTCTGGAATTCCTCATAGCCTCTTATCTCTTCCCCTCCTATATTTATCCCACATTTTCCAAATCTCTAAACTCTTCTCCCAGATCTTTAGTCCTTCCCCTTCTTCTTTCAGCAGAACCATGTTTAAAACAAACAAAAACATTTTTACTGGGTATATGTGTATTTCTAGTTAGCTGAGAAATGGAAACAATGAAAAGAGAAAACATATGGTAAATGCAGAGTACATTCAATTCTTATCAAATGCAGACAGATACATAATGAAATCATAGCAGCTGTGTTTATTTCATAATTTAGGCATTTAAAAAAAAGTGCCATGTGTTTATTTTAATGTCACTTGATGTCCAGTTTAAAACATGAGTTTGTCTACACGTTTTACCTCTTTTCCTAGAGAATCTTTTAATATTTAAATATAACCTATATCCCTAATTCCCAGCCATCACCACATTATCAATCTGGGTGGAGGTGAGGGGTGAGGGGGTGGAAATCCCTCATAAACTGTGTGTTGACAGAATGCTCTAAAATATATTCTAACTAATAAAGTTGGAAAATAAATTTGGCAGCAACAATCTAAGCTTTGTTGTATTTCATAAAAAGATCTACATTTAAAGGAAATAAAAACATCACATGTGCAATAGCACACAGAGTTGCTATGGTAACAGACTACATTTTTTATATTTACTCTTCAATTGTAGTACATATGAACTATTACAACCAAATAATGTCAACATCCATTTCCTCCTGATCATATAGAGGTCTCTGGAATAAGTTGTACTTACAGTTCAAAGAATCCTCATTTTTTTAACCAATCTTCTTCTGTCTTTTCTAGAAATCATAATTAAAATACATATAATAATGATTAATATTTGCCATTGGGATTAGGTTTGCACCATCATTTAACTCCCATAGGGACACTCTCCAAATGAGAAAAAACATAATAAACATAAATATCAGTTTAAACATTTAAATTATTGCTGTGTGCGTGTGTGTGTGTGTGTGTGTGTGTGTGTGTGTGTGTGTGTGTGTGTGTATGTTTAGGTAGGAAAAAGGTCTCCATGGGAATGAGGAGAAATATGTAGAAAAATGTATTTGGTTTTACTACCTGAGCACACAAACAAATCTACTTTTCCCACAGCTGTGTTTATATGAACAGTTAAGAAATACCTACTATCCTGAACTATATAATTCTATGTTTCACTAAACCTTGATTTTACTATTTATTTCAAAATGTACCTTTGGCATTGCCTTTGGGCACATATAAGTCACTATCAACTAATGTAAACAGAATACCAGCCACCCTCTCCTCATTACATTACACAGAGTACTGGATTTTCCAGAGTTTCTGTTACCTTTCTAACCTTCCCAACCAGTCCTCCTCCAGCTACCTGGAAAATTAACAGCCTGTCAGAACCATCATGGACCACCAGAACATACCAATAATGAGGTGCTTCCAAGTCACGTAAATATGAATCTAATTTGTAGCTGTTACTTTATTATAACAAGATAAGATTGAGGGCTGGACAGGAGAAAAAGATGTAAAGAAGAATAAATGACTCTCCTAAAACAGGGACCTCAGTCACCCACAGTTGGCCCTTATACCAGCCTACACTACAACAAAGTTAGGGAATTAAATGCAACTTTCTGTTTGGGACTAACTGAAAGAAACATGCATAGATTATCCACCCATCCACATACATTCTTTCTCTAATTTAATACAATGGATGTAGCTCTTCATGTTACATTTGATGGAACAGGTTTTCTTTTTTCTTTTTTTTTTTGAAACTAGTTAGAGGGCATTATGCTAAGTGAAATAAGTCAGACAGAGAAAGACAAACATTATATGATATTGCATATGTGAAATCTAAAAATATAACAAACTAGTGAATAAAACAAAAAAGAAGCAGACTCAGATATAGGGAACAAACTAGTGATTATGGGAGGCGGGGGCAATATAGGGGTGGGTAAGTGGGAGGCACAAACTATTGGGTATAAGCTAGGCTTAAGAATGTATTGTACAACACAGGGAATATAACCAATATTTTATAATAACTGTAAATGGAAAGTAACCTTTAAAAATTGTATTAAAAATTTAAAAATCAATAAAAAAAGAAACCAGTTAGAGAAGGTCTGCTTTGAAAGCCATAAAAATATACCTCTACTGACGTCTTCCACTGTAAACAGATCATCTTCAGTGTCTTCCAGTCAAGAGGAACCACACAGTCGTCGGGCAACAAAGATTCTGTAAAAAAAAAAAAAAAAGAACAAATTTCATCTCTAATGTCACACATATTTTTACCCTAAATATGAAGACATACAAACATGATATCTAGACCACCATAATGATAAAAGCCTGGTTTTGAAGATATTTCAGTGATAGCTAAAGCAGGAGTTAGTCTCTCTCAGGTCTCTGTTAGTAAACACTATCCAGACTCAATAAAAATGCTTATGTATATATGTAAAGTGATATGTATCATAGTTCATATTCTCATGTAAGTACAAATATATACACATCAGTAGCTTCAAGTGGTACTGTCACAGGGCATAAAATTTAGGTAGACATCCTTTCCTGTGACATGTATAAAACACTGCAAGTACAGCAAGTTTAGTTTTCTTGCAAATTGCTCCTTCCACGTAAGAGTGTCTGGGAGAAAAAATCTTTACAATTATGATGCTCATAAGCAAGTCCAGACATTGATTTATACCTATCCGCCATACCAAACCACGGAAAATATTTTTCCTATACTCGCATATCCCCAGCAACATGGGTAGTTTGGTTTCTTCAGGCCTATGTATGACTCTACTATATAATCCCACTGTGCCTGCAGAGCTCCTAATAATAGAATTCATTTGAGTTCCCTGTTTTATTTACAAGGTCATAGATACACCAGAGCTTTGCATGTCCAACCTAGGTAAACGAATTAGTTTACAGCCTCCACTTCCAGTTTTCTCCTTTCCTTTTTTAAGCATACACCATTTCCAAATGTAAAATTCTTTCCCTGTTTTTCTTTTAAGTCATATTTGTATAAGCACTGCTTATAATTCACTTCCATTTGGAGCCATCCCAGACAAAACCATAACCCCATATTCTCTTCAACAATCCCTTTAGCACAGCTAACCTCACTCATAAAATATTCATAAGCTTCTCATTTATATTTTCTATGTGCAATAATTTTGTTTTGTGTTAGTCTTGTCTCCCCATTTAGAAGGTAAGCTACTTGATGAATGAGGTCTATTTCCTCTAAAAAGCTTTCCAAAGCTTAATTAATGGATGCTGGATCATTATTGTTGATTATGATAGTATTGTGCATTCAAAGGAGGTTTAGAATCTTTTCCCACTAGTGCCTTCATGCTTTCTGGTGCCAATCTAAGGCAGTGATTGTTAATATTTTGGGGTCATGGACATCCCTGAGAAGCTGTTAAAATCTATGGACTTTCTCCCAGAAAAATGGCACAAAATGCCACAAAGAATTTTGCATATGACTTCAGAATATGGACTTTGGACTAATATTCCCGGCTTAAAATGACTTCCATTATCTTTTTAAATTCTCCAAAGCAAATACAGTTTAATTTTTTAAATTGGTATGTTTCTTTGGTGCATCTAGGAGGACAGAAAATTGCAGCAGTTACGGTGTGATTATTCACAAAGTTTGCAAAAATGATAAACATGATGCCAGAACAGGTTGATAGTTGTGACTCCTCTGACTCTGAGACTTAGCTAATCTTGGGTCTGAGCTGAGTGGACCAAGCTTGTCCAGAACAGCAGAAGTTTAGGAGCAAAGTAAAAAACACTGGAAATCAAGCTGTTAGAGAACCCCAGTCTCCCTGGTAAGTACAGAAGAAAAAGAATATCACGAAGATACAGGATGCAGGGACTGGAGCTTTACTTCTTGGCTCTTACAGCTTCTGTCCCCAAGGAAGGGGACACATGCAATTGCATGAAGTCATTAACACGTGCAATTGACTTACAGATAAGGAAAAGTTGGGGTATGTGCCTCATTTCCTCTTTAAGATATTTAGCATCTTGCACAGGCATACTATTTAGCAGAAATTTACTTAGAATTTTACTTACAATATTAAAAAATCATATTTTCATTTTTAATTCACAGGTAGATTTTTCACTTCCAAAAACAACAATCTTAAGAGCCCAAAGGAACTTTTCAAGTCAACCAGTCAGACTCCTTCCTAACCTTCTTTTCAGTACCCTTCTCAGTTCTTAAAAATTAAATTAAACTGATTTCAGATATTTTTTTCATCACTTAATCTTCATTGTCCCCCTTTTACTATTCTCATATCTATGAGCTATAATGTGAATGAGAAAGGAAAGGGCCATGTGCCAAACAAGGGAAATGCAGAAAGCAGAAAGATTTTTCTTAAAGAAAGCAGTACATCTCTATTTGTTACATAATCACTGTTTGCCTGTCTCATTCTTCAGTCTTCCCACTGTCTGTTGAAACTGAGAGTCCAAGTATTCAACATGCTCAAAGACATTTCAGACGACTGACTGTGGAGGTGGGGTATGGGGCATGACTCCACCGAGCACCATTTGCTACGTGTCCTCCACTTCCACCGCCGAAAAGTATCACAACATCAATTAACTGCATGAAATCACTAACATGAGGTAGAAACACTGCAAAAATTACTCACATATGTTAAACTGGACTTTTTATTTGTAGCAAATAAACTCAATTTACCCACTGGAACTCCAGGAGATCCAAAAAGCTTTACTAGTTGAAAGGCAAACTCTTGTGATAATGGTAGCTCAAGGGAATCATAGTAGTCAGTGCTTGTTACATCTTGGTTATCCTCTGTTTGTGAGAACTGTAATGGTTTAGGTTCTTCCCATGTCTCTAGCTTTTCACCAAAACTTTCATTTAAAAAGTGAAGATCATTAGTGACCCTAAAAGAGTACAAAGTATCAGGTGGGCTACTTAAAATTTCTGAAGAAGTGAACCTTACATCATTTAGTTTATCATCTACTCTCCTCTGAGAGTTGGAAGTCAAAAACGGTTTCTTGCTTGTAAAAGATATCTTCCAAAAGCTAGATGTATATTGTAGCATAAGAGAAGGAATGGGGCTTTTGTAAAAATACACAGAGTGCCTTAGTCTATTAAATAGCAGGTAATGAGAATAAAATTGTCCACCAACATTTAGAAGAGAATCTTTGACAATGTCAAAGTAAAACCATGATGGATGATGATTGAAGGTCATAATGTTTTGCTTATTCTCTTCTTCATTATTTATTTCTGAAATGACATCTTTTTTTTCTTCCAAAATAATTTTTATTCCATGGCTTTCTGTTAACAATTCACATTCCCCCATTTCTTTTACATTGATATGACTCTGTCCCAGTAAGTTAAAGTTTGGTGCCAAACTGAAAATCCTTTTCTGCCTCCTTTTTTTATTCTTTATTGAGTGTAAGGCATTCTTTAGGCTATCCAGCTTAAGGAAGTGGCTTCCAAAGATATTTGTCTCTGTTTCTATGATTGAATCTATATTCTCAGTTGGAGGTGACAAATCTTCATTTTCTATCGATAGCTTCTCTTCTATCAATGTTTCAGGACTGTTTCCTGGTCCTGATGCTCCTTCAGAAGGAGAGATCAATTTAATCAATTGTCTCCTGTTGTCAGGATAAGCCAGTTTTTGCCATCTATCTCTCTTTGGTCTCTGTTCACATATAAACTTATTAGGTCCCTCAGGCCAGCTACCAAAATAGGGTTGTCTATCAGAGCCCAACTGTAATTCTTCATCAGAGAAATCATTTGAGAAAAAAGCCCAGTAATTATTTTTAGATGTATTTACTCCTTGTTCCTTTCTTAAAACTTTATCTGAAGTTCTGGATCCATATTGATGGTACAGACTTGTTTCATTCAGGAGACTCTTATCTACCATCTCTTTCTTCTGCATAAATGAGCGTGGGGTTTCAACAAATCGGTCTTGGATGTGTAATGCCATGATATCCCTACTTTCTATATGCTTTTCTATCTTTGTGCCAGGGCAGTCATCACTTGCTACATAGGGGAGATTTTGAGTCACTGTTGAATAAGCAACAGAGCTTTCATTTGGCATCAATGACAAATTTAGAAACAAGTCATCATCTTCCTTGGGGAGGAAATTCTTTGGTGTATTGTCCAACTCAACTACAGACATAACATGTGGCAAACTGTTTTCAAAATTTATGTTTTCCTGTCTCTCATCTTTATGGACATTCACAAAATCTCCTACTTCATTTCTCAGATCACCCGTTAAGGAATACTCTGATTCTCTTTTGGTCTCTTCTAAGTCTTCCTCTTCATTCTGAGATGGGTCCTGATCTTCTGGTGTAAGATAACTTAAGGTTTCAAATGAGTTTTCCTCCATGATTTTACTATGACTGTTCTGCTTTTTGTTTCTTTTTCTGTTTCTCTTCTTGGCTTTGCCGAACCTGTGCCCAGTTTTCTTCAAATCTCTTTCTCTGAAACATAAAAGAATTAAGAAATTCATAACTTAATTACTTATATAACATTATAAACTAAAATATTATACTCAATGTGCAGATATACAAATCATTAGTATAAGAGATTCTAAAGTGTGTGTCCACTTTGAACTATATTTTAAAAATCACCTTTGAAAGAGATATGCTTTAATCCTCTAAATGATTGGGTTGGCCAAAAAGTTTGTTTTCAGGTTTCCATATCATAGAAAAACCCAAACGAACTTTTTGGCCAACCTGATAAAAGTGAATACACTTTGAGAAACTTACAACTCATTTTCACATACTCATTTCATAAACCAATAACTTTATGAAAGCTTAATATTTTCCCTAAGATACTTTATATATATATATATATATATTACCAATAAACAACTTGGTTATCCCAACATCTTGAATTTTGAAAAGTGAAAAGTGACGGGTATAGTGTAAATGGCACCACTTTAATGGCTCAAATAGCTAGATTTTCTCTAGACGTAAAAACTTTGGCAATTAAGTTGCTCCATCAAACTGTAAAGAACAGTTGATAATGAGCAGCCAAGTTCAGTATTGGGATGATATGCTTCCAACTGCCTAGTGAGCAGTGGTTCTAAACCAGAGGCTCTACCACTACTTTGTGGGGTGTGTGGAAATGTGTGAAGGCATTTCTGGTGGTCTCAATGACTGGAAATGTGTTACTGGCACTTGGTACTGGGGCCAGGGGTGTTAACCATCCTGCAATGCCAGGGACAATTCCACAGTGAAAAGTTATCCCACCCAAATGAGCAATAATGCTCTCATCAAGCACACTAAAAGTTCACGGTGCCCCTTAATTGAAGGCAATCTTTGATCCTGAGAGAAAAAGGAGGATTTAGGAAATTTTCTAATTTCGGATATAAAGGTTTAGTTATCTTCTCTTCCACAATGTACAGATGGAAACATAGTAAAATGTAGTAGAGGAAGGACAATAGATACAGCTGAGGAAAAAAATCCAGGGTAGAGGAATAGGAAAATAAACACTTAAACAAACACCGAAGCAGAAAGAGATAACAGAAAAGAGAAGTTGGTCAATTGGCTGGGCATTGGACAAAAGAACTTATTAAAACTGCCCCAGGGCTTCCCTGGTGGCACAGTGGTTGAGAATCTGCCTGCTAATGCAGGGGACACGGGTTCGAGCCCTGGTCTGGGAGGATCCCATATGCCGCGGAGCAACTAGGCCCGTGATCCACAACTACTGAGCCTGCGTGTCTGCAGCCCGTGCTCCGCAACAAGAGAGGCCGCAATAGTGAGAGGCCTGTGCACTGCGATGAAGAGTGGCCCCCACTTGCCACAACTAGAGAAAGCCCTCGCACAGAAACAAAGACCCAACACAGCAAAAATAAATAAATAAATTACTAAACTCCTACCCCCAACATCTTCTTTAAAAAAAAAAAAAAAAAGAAAAGAAAATTGCCCCAGCCTCTGGCCTGGTTTATTCCATCCCATGCTGCTGGGCAATTTTCAATAGTCAGGACCCCTGAATACCTTGTTCTTTGTCAACTAATTGCTGCTGCCCTTGTTTATATATCCCTGGATGTTGGTTTAGAAAGAACATTAAGGTTGTAAATCAACTACACTTCAATTAAAAATTAAATTTAAAAATTTTTTTAAAAAGAAGAACATTAAGAAACAGTAAATTACTGAGAAGCAGTTAAGATGGTATCTATAAAAAGGATATCGAGTAAAGAATGTCAACTTTGGCAGTAACTCTCCTTCATGGTCAGTTCTATCTGACTCCAATGAAAGGTCTAGTTGAAGTCTAAAGTGCAGTCACAGTTATAAAATGCATACTGCAGACTAGTCTGTCATCCTAAAAACAAACTCCACTCTCTTCACCCAAACATGAACCATCCTGTTGCAGGGAAAGGAGGAAAAGAATAAGCTGAATTTGTTGTTGCTTTATTTGTTGGCCTAAATGGTAAAATACTAAGGACTTAAGACTCACTCCAGGACTGGTGACTCTGTGGACTTGAATGCATTTAATGTGCAGCCACTGTCCCTTTAAACAGCTCTCTAGTGCACAAGGAAGGAGAACTCTAAGCTATGGAAATGGGGTTCCTAGATATGGTTCATCATAAAAGTGTTTATAGCTCCTTATGCCACCAGGAATTACAAGGTTCACAATGCTACTTTGAAAATTGGCTTTAAAAAAAAAAACTATTTACTGCACACTCACTATATGTTAAGATTATTTAATTGCTTTACATGTACTAACTTACCTAATCTTCACAATAACCATATGTGGTAAGGCAAATGCTAGTTTTACCCCCAACTCAAAAAGGCAACTGAAACAAAGGGAAGCTGAAGAATCTTCCCAACTACAGTCACAATATAAAGCAGCATGGAGGTTCTTCAAAAAATTAAAAATAGAACCACCATATGATCTTGCAATTCCACTTCTGGGGATATATGCAAAGGAAATAAAAACACTAACTCAAAAAGGTATCTGTACCCCATGTTCACAGAAGCATTATTTGCAATAGCCAAAACATGGAAACAAGTGCCCATCAATGGATGAATGGATAAAGAAGTTGTGGTATATATATACAATGGACTATTATTCAGCCATATAAAATGAGGAAATTCTACCATTTGTGACAACATGGATGAAACTTTAAGGCATTATGGTATGTGAAATCAGTCAGACAGAGAAAGCCAAATACTGTATGATCTCACTTATATTTGGCATCTAAAACAAAATGACCAAAAACCTCATAGAAAAAGAGATTGTATTTGTGGTTACCTGAGGCGGGGGTTGGGATAAGGGGGAATTGGAGGAATGTGGCCAAAAGGTACAAACTTACAGTTATTAGATAAATAAGTATTAGGGATTTAACGTATAACACAATGACTATAGTTAACACTGCTGTATGGTATTTAGGAAAGTTGTTAAGAGAGTAGATCCTAGGAGTTCTTACCACTCGAGAAAAACGTTTTTCTTGTATTTTTATTGTATCTATATGAATTGATGGATGTTAACTAAACCTATTGTGGTAATCATTTCACAATGTATGTAAATGAAACCATCATAGTGTATAGCTTAAATTTACACAGTGATATATGTCGATTATTTCTCAATAAAACTGGAAAAAAAGAAAAAAGAAGAATTTGCCCAGGGTCACATGGCTACTGGCACAATTCAGACCAAGACTGACTGGCTTTAGAGTCTATACTCTTTAACCATTATACAAAATTGCCTCTCAACTAAAAAGGAGAATTTTACACTTCCCTTCTTTTTCTTCCTCCTCTCATCTTCAAATTCCTCTTCCTCCTCTCATCTTCAAATTCTCACATGTGCACAAACACAGAGATGTTTATGCTGGCAAGAGTTGAGTCCTTTTGAGGGAAGCAGCTCTTGGGCCCTGACTCCTACTATCACTACCCTAATAGTGTCTTGAGACTTTTTTCTTTTTCTCTCTCTCCCTCTGTATGAAAGCAAACAAGGAATAACACCAGAAAGTGAGAGAAGGTAGTGTGGAACAGGACTCATCTCCCTAATTGAACTTTATGTCAAGGTTTTATATGACCAACGGGAAGGCCAGGGTAGGTGGCCTATTAACTTAGGCCAATGGACACAAGGGGCTCCTCCTGAAGTTAACTCATTTGTCAAGGGATAGAGGTAGTGAAGAGTGATCACATTCTGGATATATTTTGAAGGAAAGACAAGCAGGAATTGAAAACAAATTGGTTAGAGTATGAGAAAAAGATAATAATCAAGCATGAGTGCAAAGATTTTGGCCTGAACAATCAGAGGGATGAAGTAGCCATTTGCTGATACACAGAAGCCTGTACAAGGTAGGGGTTTGGAGAGAGCGCTGCTAAATCAATTGCCTCAAAGTTCAGCTCAGAGTCTTAACCAGTAAATTAATCTGTCCCTATAGCAGAATTTAGAAAGTAGAAAAGATGAGGGCTTCTCTAATACTCCTCAAGGGTTCCTATGTTTTTTAAATGGATTACAATCTGATAGCTACTTTGAGAAAGGACCTGCCAGTGATGAAAACTCATGATGCCTGCAGAGAATTTAACATGGATCATGAAAGAACGAGGTGGCTTAAAAAATAACTATTAGAATCTAGGAGATCACGCAATTTATTAAGGCAGTTTGCTAAAAGAGTTAATCAAAGAAGTCTTAAGGCTTGGAATTTCAATTAAAAATACAATAAAATGCCAAGAAGTATGAAAATCCGAAGACTAACTTTATAAGGAAGTGTGTCAGAGACTTCTTCTAGTTCTGCACCATGGAAGCTCTATATAGTGACCACACTTGTTCTAGTACTTGGAACAGGACTTCTGGAAAGAAAAAACAAAGCAATAACAGGGACTTGTGAAGCACTTGGGAGATAAGAGAAGTGATGGTGGTGATAACTTCTGTGAGAATGTATACATTGGATGTGCCTAATCAATAGATGTATTTATAATACATAATAATAATACATAATAAATATATAATAATAAAATAATAATATAATACATAATAAATAATTATGTATTTATAAAGTGTGAAAGGCTCATCAAACCTATGTCTCACTCATGCTGATTCACTTAGGGGTGAATGGCACCATTAAAAGAGAAGAAGCATCACTAAATATAAGTTAGTCATGGAGAAGAAATCAGAAGAGATGGACGCATGGGCTGTAGCTTTAGAAAAGAAAGGAAGAAATAAGGAAAGAACGAATGGTAACATATCTCTGATTAATAAGATTTTGCTTTTTAGATAATGGTTTAGAATCCAAGCTCCTGGGTTCAGATGGAGTGCACTTTTTAAGAATTAGAAAGGTAGTGTTGCTAAGAGACAAGCTAACCTGACCAAGTGAACTGTGACCTGAAGACAAAGGTGAGAGAACATCCAGATAAAGCCAAAATTGACTGCTATGGAGAAAAAAAAAAAAAAAAAAAAAAAAAAATATATATATATATATATAGTTATTGCTTAATGTTCTTCATCAGGAAAATAATTAAGGGAG